CTGCAGGTTCTCTTTCATGTTTGGAAGGGGAGGCTGAGGTGAGGGGTGTTCAGCTGCAACATGCAACTTCCCATTTAGATTTCACTAAATTCTGCACACTGAACCTTTAACTGCACAATCGCTGTTAGCTACACTTGTTATTGATTATCCATGGGTTAGGGTTAGGGTTGTGTTCTACACTGGTAGCCGAGGCTAATGCCCTTTGTTTTCTTCCGGATGAGGGTCATATGATAGTAGCCTGATGAATCAGCGAAGGTAATGTCCTGACCGAAGAGACCCAATCAGCAAGCGGTCGTGAGTGTCTACGTCATTTGTCCAGACTCTATGGAGCCCCTGACTTTTCCAAGTAAATGGGGCCAGCAGCGTTTCCAAACTCTGTTTTAGTGGCTCTCCATAGGAGTGTGGACGCCAGGTGTACCTGTAGCAGAATTGATGCCATTTCAAACGAAAACGTAGTAACGTGGATGTAGCCTCAGATATAGGTCTTTCACTTATTCAAATTTCTTGACCAGTTATCGGTTATGATAGAGCTGATCAATGGAGCCGATCAATTGAATTCTACATGCACGTACTACCTCATACGTCATCAGTGTGCCGCAAGATACTAGCAGAATTGCTTTACACTTAAAATGTAAAATTAAATATTTAGCAATAAATAAAAAGTTAGGAATTTAATGATTGAGTTTGCTATGATGTCAAATAAAAGAATGCACCCAGTCTCCTCCCCACTGTGAGCTGTGAGCTCTTCATTAAATACTACCATTAGATTGGTACTGAGTATGTGATTGTTTGTGAAGAGTATATACTACATAGCCTTTATTCTCTCATTCTCCATTTTATTTATTTGCTTAAGCATAGCTTTTCTCTCTCTCACTCTTGCTGTTTTTGCCTCTTTCACTCAGTTTCCAAAGGATTACAGTGAAATCTGTTGCGAAGGATTATACAAATCAATGGTACGTTCAGTTGCAATAAGGTTTTCTGCTAAGGATTTATACACAACACGAGGCAGCCAGTGGATATACGCAGGTGTCAGTTGCTGTGTGTGTGTTTACATGTGTGTAAAGTGGCCTTTTCAGTTGGGTGCCAGCAGACAGTCTGGGGGCGGGGTGGGGGGTGCTTGATGGGAGGGAAATCGCAGGGAACTAATCAATAAGACACATCCTGTGAAGAAAGTATCGTCACACATACACACACACACGTCTCACACACACACACTCTGATATGTACATTACACACGTTCACACACAGCATCAACTTTCATTTAACACTTGTCTCCCCTCTGTTCCTCTCAGCAGAAAGTGTGAAGCAATGATTTGGTGTGGCGAGAGACAATAGGGAAAAACAAGATGAGACAGAGAGCGATTGCTGTCTCATGCATGTGTATGACAGTTTTTTGCACGCCTGTCTGCAGGTGTACGTGCGTGTTTGTGTGTGTGCGGGCAAGTGGCATTAGGATGTGTTGACGCACTGCAGTCTAGTGGTATAGTGCCTATTATGGAGAAAGTGAGAGGCCTCATTAAAAATGTATGAAGCCAAGACATCAGCCAGCGACCAACAGCAGCCTCCTGGGACAGCCGACAGTTTTAAAGCTCTTTAGTGGATGGAGGTTGTGTGTTGGGGGGTGTGTAGTTTGCATGTGTACATTTACATGTGTGCAGTGTTAAGCTTATATTCTTTTTTTATTTATTTTTTAAGTGGCGGATATGAGGAAATCTCCTCTTAGCTCAGAAGTGCCTGATATTTAGTTTTTACTTCGTAGCTCTTCTTCTCGCTGCCTCCTTTCATGCTGAATCTGTTCTCATTTAGAGACTTTTTATGATAACACAGACGCTTTAAATTGTAAGCCTTATCTTGGCTCGAGGGCAGCTGTAGCAAAATTATAGTCTGGGTTATATAATTTTTTAGTTTGACCCCCTTTTTTTCCTCACTTGCCTCCAGCAGTGTGTAGCTATACGCAGATTATTTCGACTTTTTTGAGTTTAACCTGAAAATTCAGCTTGTGAGATTTCAGCATTCACACTAATGCAGTGGAACTGAGAGTGTGTACCCGTCCCTTTTACAAAACTGATGGAGGTAAATTCGAAACAATAAATCCGAATCAGATTTATTGGCCATACAGGCAATTGGACTTCGGTTGGAATGGTGGATACTAAAAACTAAACTGTGGATTTCTAAATAAGTCTTGATGCCAACTATGACAGGGAAAACCTTTAGGTTTAGTTGTTGGGCTTAGTCTCTACAGCATAAATATTTTTGTGCGAGTGTCGGATTTGTCTGCCTCTGCTTAAAAACATGGTGTTTCAGGCTCATTGTGTAACCCTCGGCAGCGGCAGGTCGCTCACAGAGTCGACGCCTCACACTCGGTGTCATGTGGGGTTTTTGGATTTTGCGTCTCTCTTCACAACTGTGTCCTCACAGATGCATAACCAAGCCTTTCTTCACATCATTCTTACTTTGCTGATCCATCATTACAACAGTAGCTGAGCACTGCCACGCTTTGGTGCACAGCGTTTCAATCAACGTCAGAGTCAGCAGTAGCAACCACCACGGCTGATTGCGACTGTGTCTGCCCGAGTGTGTCTGTGGGTGTGTGTAGGCACACGTTCGTGCGTTGGCGGGTGCCCATGTGACTGTGTATGCAAATGCAGCTGTAAGACAGCTGAATGCCTGTGCTTTACTGAGAGCTCGGCACCAGGGGGAAATGAAAAGACCAGGAGAATAATGACAGATTTATAATTACAGAATGTGGTGTTCAGTGGTACTCAGCAGCGACTGTCTGGGGAGGACAATCTGGGTGTAATTTCTGCTGATCAGGCCTGCCACACGCTCAAGGGTCACACTACATGTATGCCAGAATACATACACTCTCTCACACACACACGCGTATGTATTTGCACTGAGGCAAGTGTGGGGACTCTTTCTCCCTCTCTTGTCATTCGTGCAGATGTTTTTGCATATACAGAAGAACCCACACAGACTAATAAACACAAGCACAGAACGTCTCGCGCTGAAAATTTTGGTGCGACAGCAAATTGCCTGGTTAATTTGCGAGGGCTAAAAACATCGAGTAAGCTCCCGATTTGCTGAGAAATGAATGCATCACAGGCTGCCACAGAGACGCAGCAGAAATATCAGCTTTATGGAAGGAAGTCAGTAATTCAATTTAAAGAGAAGACAAAGTGTGAGTCATTTTAAACGGGTTACAGCTGTAAGCAGTTATTCACCCAAGACAACACAACAAGAAACAACACACTTTTAATTCAACTTTTACGCAGAATTTTGGAAAGCTTGTACTTAAATGTCCAGTGTGTAAGATTTAGGTGAAAGGGATCTATTGGTAGAAATTTAATGTAGAATAATCCTCATGATGTTTTCACAAGTTTGTTTCATCTAAATTGTATGAATTGTAGTTTTCTTTACCCCAGAAAAGACCCTTTATATTCAAATACTTTATATTTACAGCGAGGGGTCCTCTCTACGGAGGCCGCCATGTTTTTTTAAATTACGTCAGACTGGACAAACTAAACACCTTTTGAGTTTTTATGACAACTGAAGGTTTCCACAGGTTCTTTTTCATGTTTGGAAGGAGAGGGTGAGGTGAGGGGTGTTCAGCTGCAAATTGAAACTTCAACAATAGATATCACAAAATTCTACACACTGTACCTTTAATGAGCATTCCATTTTCAAGGTAATACAGGCCATACATGTGCTCAGCTGTACAGTAAGGCAGTTGTCCTCATCTCCATCAAGGTACTTTTTAGTACTTCTCAGCTGGGTTTTGTTGAGGGACGTTGAGACATGGTGTAACACCAAGGACTGGTGTGTCGTCTCTGTGTGGAATATGTTTGCATTAGCTTATGATTTATTATTATTTTTAATTTAGTCTTCAGTAAGTCTTAGTGAAATGTGTTGCTGTAGTTTCCTGCACAAAACTATGATGCACTACTACTATTAATAAGTATTATTATTATTACAATAATGGTAATAACTATAATCATAATAATGGTGGTAATAACAATATCATTAATCATAAAAAACATATTTGTTTTGTACTTTTCAACACATAGTCAAGTTCTTTACAGAAATCAATACAATTCTGTCAGAATATATTACACAATAACAAAAACCCTCCCAAAAAAGCATCAAAGTAAAAAAACAACAAGCAACAGGTCAGTAACAAAGCTTGTGTGGGAACTGTAAGAAGGTTCCCTGAGGAGCATCGGCAGCTTTGTAGAGAACAATTACATCTGTGGCTTGAGCAGGTGGGAGCCAGTGTTGCACTTTAAATTTGTGAGATCAAGCTTTTAGGATCAGAGAGACAGGCCATAATTTAGGAGATGTTATCACTATCGGATTATCACAGTTTAATATGAACCTGGTGTCGTCTGCATAACTGTGGATTTTAATAGATTATCTCACTTCGAGAGAGCGTATATGTAGAGCATAACAGTGACTGCCCTCTTTTAACTGCTGTGGTTCAGGAAGTAAGTTTCTCATTTATTTTCTCAATTGCATTTCAGAAAAAGAGTTTTAAGCCTGGAACCACACTATTAAGGTCTATTGCATAAATAGCATGGGACCAAGAATTGACCCTTGCGGCACACCACATGAGAGGGGGGTAGGGCACGAGGAGAATTCTCCCCTCACAGCAGAATAAATTGCTTCCCACCTTTGTAATGGTACATCTTTTGTCAATCAAGCCCTCTGTTCTGCTATTGTGTCAAACTAAATGTGCCAAAAACCAGTTTGAACAGCATTACTATGCATGGTCCAGCATCCCAGCTAAGTGCAAGCTGTACAGTTTTTTTCTGTCTCGTTTTTAATCCCTGAATGAATTTCAGTCTGTCTCTCGCAATCAAACACGAACATAAGTCTCTCCGGAATAAAGATGCTTTCATTTTCATTCATATTTCAGATCTAATTTATTTCACATCTTGATGCCGATAATAAATAAAATACAAGGAAAGTTTCCTGTTCTAATGTGATTTCTTACTTTTTAGGTGTGTGTGCAACATCGACTGTTCCCACATCAGCTTCAACCCAGTGTGTGCCTCAGACGGTCGTTCCTATGACAACCCCTGCCAGGTGAAGGAGGCGTCCTGTCAGAAACAGGAGCGCATCGAGGTCAAGTACCTGGGCCACTGTCAAGGTCAGACACTCAGACACACACACGCACACACACACACACACACAAACACACACACACACACAAACACACACTGGTGACGAGTGACAAAACGACACAGCAAGGCCTTCACACGCGCAGCAGAGGCCGTCAGTCTGTCTGCCTGGGCAGGTGTTCACTTCAAGTTGAAGTGAGGCCGTGAGGGTGAACGAGGCCCTCATGGCCTCCGGGCAGTTGAGGCAAATGAGGCGGCTTTCAGAGCTAAATGCAGACAGCATGATCCTGTATTTCCCTCCAGCTGCACTTCCAGCCACATTTCATAATTACAGATAGTTTCACTCAATCATATTTTGGAATAGTGTGCAAAGATAATCCCCAAATAGCCTTGACTCCTACGTATATTGATAATTTTACTGAATGGTAATCCCCCCTCTTTCTAGTGTAATATCATTTATTTGAATGCAGTGTCTGTAATGGTTCCAGGGATAAAGTTATTTATTAATGTGTGTGGTTAAATCCCCGAACCTGAATCATACTGCTAATCCATGTGGGAGACTACAAAGGCACCTGAGAATTCTTATTTTTTATTTTATTTGATCCATCAACATCTTCATCTCTCCAAATACTGGCTCCTCCTGCTTTAAGATCTTAAGCCGTCATCGGGGGAAAGAGAGGCAGAGACTTTACCCTCACTCACAATTTTAGCAGTGTTCAAATATCAGTGGTTAGCAGGTTTTATTCTGTATGAGTAAGTACAGCATTTGATTGGCTTGGCATCCTCGCAGGACAAACAGGACGATTGATCGAGATGTGAGAACTGAGATGAAAGCTTTGAGAAGTAATGGGGAGAAAAGCAATCAGGGCTAACCAGCTCTCAGAACACAAATAGAAATCTGTATTCCCCATTGTTACACCTTTCGGGTCAGACCACCCTGATCGATTCGATTGTGCTTCCACACATTCTGCGAAAGTGGGAGAGAGAAGCAAATGTCATGAAACTCTTCGATGAAACGGCAGGATTTAGAATCCTCATGTTAGCCACGATTCAAAGTGACACCTTGACATTTAGATTGCTGGTTTATGATATTTTTTCCATGTGTCACTTGGGAAACAATTTTACATTTCATTCTTTTTCTGAATAGAGTTCAGCTTTTTCCACTGCACCTTGTACCAGCGTGGACAGAGTGAAATTGATGTGATTGAGATTTATTCCCACCTAACACCAGTAACATAGTGGTGCTTGGAGAAGTGGGTACACTCTTCATTTATTTTTAAAGTAGCCCATCCAGCAAAGGATAAACGTCTCATGTTATAAATAGTGACATGTAAGACTACTCTTGCATACTAGCTCACCCAAAAAAGGGCCAATAGTATTCCTCCATTGTCACTTGGTTCACTTAATTTCTGATGCAGATTTTGCATCAATGCTGTCCCACAGACTTTACAGTGAGGCAACTACATGATTTTACATTTTGAGTCAACTATTGCTGTTATTCCTTCCACACATGAAAATTGGACAATTATTCCCTCATCAAGTAATCTATGGGTCAGTGGTTTCTTTTGTTAACTGTCACTTGGATAATCTGATTTGCAAAAGGTAGCGTTGGCCATAAGTTTGCCAACATTATAAAATTAGCAATATTTAAAGGCTGAATTTAGTTGTGCTTTTTAATGAGTTCTGTTAATCAGGAGATCGGTTAAAGAGCAGATGATATTTTTTCCCATGAGAGGCTCACATATATATATTCTTATCCTAATTAGCCAGTCACCACTCCTGATACCTTTACCTACCAACACAACCAACAAAGGCAACGAGTACTAACCAATCAGTGGCAGAGGAATGCTGGTGATTTCGGAAACAAATAGTCTTGCAGCATCAAGGGCGATTTAGAAGAAGGTATACGCTATGCTGATTAAAAAATAAGGGGGATATACACCGTATGCCTGCATATACCCTGCACTAAACCACTGCCTAACACATAATACCCTCACGATGCCGAAAGAAATCAGGTGCTGCATCATCAAGACTTTAAGTTATCATCAACGTTTGTGGTCTGTTTACTTTGCTTTTCTCTTAATCAGTTTTAAAACTCATTAAGTTTATTTGTTTGTGAGTCTTTTCGAATGTCATACATACAAGACTCCAGCTTCTGACCTCATAGAAATGCCTATTTGTTTATTTTCTTTTATCGCGCCTCTGGTGTTTTACAAGCCAATAAAAGAGAAAAAAGAAGTAGGGGAAAAAGATTATCGCACTTCCAGGCACATTTCATGCCACAATTCTTGCACCATAAATCCAGGAAATACTTTGGCACACATACTTTGAGAGAATAAATTCACTGACCACTGGGAAAAAAATCAATTGCAATAAAATGATTATGATTGGAAGGAGGTTTTGTCTAGCCGTGGTGAAAGGGGAATTCAATGCAGCCCCAATAAGGTGAGCAAGAATGCATTATTCCCTCTGAGTTTTTTTCTCCCTCTCTCCCCCTCCTCTGCTCCTTTCTGCGCTTTGTTCAGTATAATACATTCGAGGGGACAGTCTCTGACTTTGGAAGAGAATGGTTCACATTCATATGCATTATCTAGACAGGCGCACACACTTCATGGACCCTTTGTTGCCATGATGATTTACGTCTGCCATCAGTTTGAACGTGTTAGTCCTAGTGGAGGGGGTTAGGGTGATGGGAGGAGTCATACCGACCTGGAATCAGTTTGACTGTGTCTCCGTCCTTTTCAGGTGACATCATAACCGGCAACAAAGGAGGAGATGGACACTTTGCACGGACTGACCTCACAGGTGAGTGTACGTGTGATGGTGGTGTGATGGTCTTCTAAAGAATTATGGATAGATGGAGGGCGTACAAAAGACACTGCTGTCACACTAGAGAGAGGGAATCACCTTCAGTTCTGTCTGCAGATACGTTTGGAGAAGGGTGGTGTTAAATGAGTGCAGTGCATGTTCTAAACATGCCTGTGTACTTGTTCTGTGTTAATATTCTGGAGCTACTTCAGAATTATTCCTCCTCAAACAGTTCTACAATATACTGTCACAGTCAACACTACCTGGTTTATCTGCAATCAAGATTTAGTCGTTAATGTTTTTCAAGTCAGAAGGATTTACTTAACTGCTGTTATTTTTTCGTACATTGCATGTCGGCTATTTCAGAGGTCTGTTAAGCAACCGACTCAATCTTCAGACCAAAGTTCACAAAACATTTCAAAATAAAAGCTCTGTAAATCAGCTCAATATAAAGCATTGCAGCAACTAAACGAACGTTGTGTTTTTACTTTGAAGGCAAATAGCCAAACTGTAATTCTATCACTGTTGTTGCCTTGACGGAGATCAGCAGCCGTACTGGGTTCAGTCTGTGTCTCAGTCCGATATGGTCAAACAAAAAAATCGAATTATAAAAATGATCTGGCTGCGATTTTCATCTGCAGTTTGACCCAGTTACTGCTGTAGTTTATCTGAGGATGTAGATGAAGACATGTTCAACTCAGTCTAAAGACTGAAGGTGCACTTCCCTGCCCCCACTGACCTAGAGAGCATTTCATCTCAATTCATTTTGATCTATTTATTTCAATTTGTATTGATATTGACAACCTCGACACTGCACTGAGAATTCACATGCCAAGTGTGAGGCTGATAAGATGTATAGTTCTAGAGATATGCGTTCCACATACAGACAGATGTTTGTGGAATTTTGAGGTAGATGTGAGGCAAAACATTATCTGAACGTTTGTGTTTGTGTTTTAAACCAGACCAGGATCAGTGCCTAACCTTAAACAAGCACTGTCTAAACATAACCATAAAGAAGTTTAATAATGCATCTCAAGGTATGTATGCACAGGCGGCCAAGAGCATATGTGCATTCAGTATTTATGGATGTTGTATTTGTGTGTGTGTGCACGTCTGTTTATAAAATAGAGAAAAATGAGGATCCGAGGAATGGGCTGGCCCGCGGCCTGTACATCCCCTGTCCAGATCACTACAAAAACTACTGCGTCCATGGAGAGTGTCAGTTTCCCAGCATCCTGGCACAGCCCTCCTGCAGGTACACACACACACACACACACACACACACTGTATTCCTGTATGTGTGAGGATTAGTGATGGGTAGGGATAAGCATTTTGGGGCATTTTTGAAGCTGAGCAGGAGGCAGGTGACAGGAAATGAGGAGAGAGAGAGAGGGGAAATGACAGGCAGCACAGCTTCCTGAGCAGAAATCAAACTGGAGACATCGCAGTCAAAGTACACATTATGCTTCTTAACCACTGAGCCACCGGAACACACCATTTCTGACATCATTCTACACTGAATGTCACAATAAAGACGGGGCCTGAAATTTCTTCCAAAAAGTGAAGAAATCAAAAGCTGTTTCCTAAATATAATATAATTTGAGCAAAACACACTGACTGCTGATTATTAATTCATACTAACGGTTTTTAAATAGCTAGCAATCAATAGTGCTACATTTATATTGTCCATTATGGGCTACAGTGCATGGATGCTGATTTAACAATCAATGAGACTGTATTTATCTTAACTACATAGTTTTTACAGTGCAACTGATACATAAACTCACCCTCATTAAGCCACATGGACTCAGACAGACTCTTTTTTTTTGCAGAACAAATTTAATGATGCTCTCCCTCTCTCTCTCCCTCTCTCTCCCTCCCCACATGTAGTTGATAATAAGTATTAATCGATTTTAGGCAATTGCCACACAAGTATTACATCCTGTTTATGTTTTTAATCAGGCTATTAATAGTGTAAGTGGGGTAAGTGTTCGAGATCCCTCCTGTAGTCGTAGGCCACTGCTGCACTGCTTCAAATTAATCCCACGTTGGGTTTTTTTCAATTTCAGATCCAACACTTGCAGAGGTGGCAGAAGTTTCTTTCTTGAAATGTACTCGAAGTATAAAAGTAAAACCTTCACCTCTGAAGCTCATTTCTAGCAGCCGTATCTGTGCAAAGCAAACATAGACTCATGTCACATTAATATATTTTAAAGACAATTTAACTTAAACCACTCTTACTTCAGATCAAATAAAAAACTATCTACAAAAACAAGGGTTAAAGCAAGTAAAGCAACGTTGTCCAGGAGGAAGCATACTGAATGAAGAATCTTTCATTAGAATAAGTCCAGGGATGGGGAATGTCTTTTTTTTTTGCTTTGTTGCCAACGTTGTCGACATAATCAGTGATATTGATTCTTTACGTTCCTTCATGTTGTTACTCCATTAACAGACATATGTGCTGCTTCTCTTCTCCGCGGCTGAGTCCCCTCTCTTGTCTCACGGTCTTGCTGCGTCTTTTACGTCCATTTCTGTTGGGAAAGCAGTGCTTGAGGAACAGTTTAAAAAAAACGCATAATTCCCATCGAATACATTAAAAAGAAAGTTACAAACCTGAGTTGAAAATATAAGATATTTGTATTATAATATGGGCAGTAAAAGTAAAAAGTACATTTGACAGGTATCTGTTGTTTCTTCCCACCATCATCATCTGTCAGACAGTGATATTTGGCTTTAAACACAGTACTATCATCTTCACTGATGAGGTCCTGGAAAGTATGAAATAAATATTTTCTTTTACTGCAGCAAAAATGTACAATGTAAATCTAAAAATTCTACTGTTTGTCACTGATCATCTGTATTTCAAATACAAAATATAATTGGTGTTTGCCCATCCTTAGTAAGAGCCAAACCTTCAGCACTACTTTTAAGGTTGCACTTACTGATATTTTTACATCTCAATTGAAGGAAAATATAACAAGTTGTTTTAAGCCATAGGGATTTTTCACAGAAGCGAGGAGGAGTGAGCAAGATGTCCTCGCTCTGGATGATTTTGTCATTTAAGTAGAAACACACAAAGATGCAACAAACAGTGCACACACACACACTCACGTTGTCATAGGTCTCCTTTAGGGACTTTAAATTCATTTCCTGGAGGCTCACTCTAACCCTAAACTTAACCACTGAACCAAAAATCGTTTTTTTGATAGAACTTTCCCAAAAAGATCCCCAGTTGCAAAAACTATTTTTAAATTTGTCCTCAAAGGTCGTCTATGACAGAAACCCACACACACATCACAACCACATTTGCTGGACATCAGTCACAAACAGGTGCAAATGACAGTGGCTGCACATGCAGTGTAGAGACTCATTCACATCAGCACACAGAACGCACATGGACACAGACAGCACAGATGTGCATTTACATACAGGCACAAGAAGGACACACACACACACACACACACACACACACACACACACACACACAGTGAATGACCATATGTGCTCCTCAGGTCTGCCGTCTTTTACAGCCTGATAGTGTAGCAGCTAGGGGGTCTTGGTGTCTCTCTCTCTCACTCTGTCTTTCTCCTTTTTCTCTAACCTCGCCTGCCCCAGCCGTATTTTTGCATACAGAGCACTGTTCAGCAGAGAGAGACTGTGAAAGGCCTTTGCTGCCCCCTAGCGGCCTTAGAAAGCAGAGGTTGTATCCAGACAAAGTGGTCCCTGTGGGAGTGATGCATGTGTGTGCAAACATGTGCGTGTGTGCACACGTGTGTGTGTGTGGAAATCGGAGCACGAAACCCCCAAAAAGATCAAGGTTGAGCAGTTTATCTTGCACACTGTCAGGTCAAAGCGATAGAGAATGTGAAGGAGACTGTGTGTGTGTGCGTGTGTGTGCGTGTGTGTACGTGTGCGTGTGTGTACGTGTGCGTGTGTGTACGTGTGTGTGTGTGTGTGTGTGTTGTGGTACCAAACAGGGATATGCAGGTGTTGGTGGGTAACAACCTCCCCAGAGACAGGACAAGCAGGTAGACAGGAGAGGGAGAGAGAGAGATTAAAAGGGGGACCATTTTAGCTTGTCTCTGAGGACAAAGATCATCTCCATTAGTCTCTCTCACTCTCACTGTGTGTGTGTGTGTGTGTGTGTGTGTGTGTGTGTGTGTGTGTGTTTGTATGTTCAGTTGTGTGTCTTTGAACGTTAGAAACTGCCAACAGCTCAACCACTGAACAAAATCAGCGTCATCTTTCCTATAAGTGTTCTCAGTGTATAAAGTTAGAAGTCACAAAAAGAAGTATTTGTGTAGGTTCACAGAATTGTTATCCAGCCTTTCTATTTGCCAAAAAGATATAATATTATATGATCCCCAACAGGACTCCTGACAGTGTTGATGCTTTTAAACTCGTTTTCCATAACTGCAGCTGAGGATAACACAAAGAGACATTGTGATTATAACTGCAAAAAACCTGTAAAAAGATCATAATCATCCACACAAGATTAAAGATTTTGAAGAGAAAATAGAAATATGTCTGTCAGAAAGAGTTTATCAAGCATGAAGTTTTGTTTATGCACTCTTGACAGCACAAACAGCCTTATACTGTATGTCACATCTTCATGGTATATAATAAAGACATGTAATAGCTCCCATAGTTATTTTAAAGTCTTGCGTGTCATAATTTGGGGATTAATGTCCTATTTAAGTGTATACATTACATATTGTTATTATTAATAATAAGTGAAAAATATTTTGTATCATATTATGTTCAATATCATGCAATATTCCATATTACTTTCTCCTCTTATCATTAATACTTACTGCCACTTTGTTGAGTACTAATTTACTGTTTCACATAACTTATTTATTTTAATTTAATTTCTATTAGGCACTGGTTCTGCATTTACTCTATAAAATATTTGTACTTATAACACGTTATATATTTTTTAAACCTTTTTTCTCAACTCTATTATATATTGTTATACTGTTATCTTGGAGCAAGCTGGGCCAAGGATTTCCTTCGGGATTAAGAAAGTCTTATCTTTCTCTTTATTGAGTATTTAAATCGTGTTTCTGATGACGTCGTTTGTGATGACCATCACCTCCTCTTCCACATGAACAAGTGGATAAACAGCTTCCTAGTTATCCGGGGTGAAGCCTTGAAGCCCCAAAGAGAGACAGACTGAGGTGAACTTTGTCCTGCAGGATCATGTAGGAAAAGACAGAAGCTGACCAATCACAGCTCTCGCTGTCTCTGCAGGGCGTCTCTGTAGCTTCTTCTAGAGAGCTGTAGCGCAGGCTGCAGTGGAGTTACGGTGCAGCGAGCACTGACACAGTGGCTATGCAGTATCCCCCCTTAACACATAACTACCATTGCAGCTTCATTGTGGACAAAGGGGCCGTGGTGAAATGAACGTTCTGCATCTCGAGCTGCTTACTCCGAGCGCGATCGCACTCTCTCTCTCCCTGCCTCGGTTTTGTCCCTGTGCGAGCCCCATCAGTCATGTTCATCTCAATAGTCGCAAAAAAGAAAAAGCACAATCACCACACTGTCACACAAATACATTGTTCCACCTCAATGTCTTTATCAGACAGGTACTGACGTTTCAATTAGAAACACAGAAACAATTAACCTGTCTCTCGGTGCAAAGGAATGACTCGCTTCCTCTCTATGTCTTTCTTCTCTCTCGCCCATGCATGTGTGTGTGTTTGTGTGTGTGTGTGTGTGTGTGTGTGTGTGTGATCTCAGCTGCCATTCGGGTTTTCGGGGCCCCCAGTGTGACATCAAAGAGTACAACGTGTTCTATGTGGTGCCAGGCTCTGGCAAACTACACTACGTCCTTATCGCCTCCATCATTGGAGCTCTCCAGGTGGTCATCATTTGTGTGGTGGTGCTCTGCATTACCAGGTGAGTCATGCACACACACACACACACACACACACACACACAAACACACACACAGTATTTTCCGTGTTGTCCGTGGTTGTTCAGGAGTCACATGAGGGCCATGGTGCTCCTAAGCCTGGACGAAAGGTCACCTTGCTCACAGGAGGAGAAGTCCTGTACTTTCCCTCTGGACACACATACACACAAGTGAACACATGCAGTGGATGCGTATGAGCACACATACACACAGATATCTAAGTAGGCAAGTGTACACACCCTGTGTTTGAACAGGCGTTTTGTATTGACAATAAAACCCACGCACACACACACTTGTATACCCTGCAGCCTGTGTGCCTGTGGCTGACCTAAGCAATTTATGACATTCAATAAAAGATTTTAAAAGAGTTGGCTGAGAAAAAAAAGGAAAAAAATGCTCCTCTGAGCAAAGGAGGAGAGGAAGAGGAGGGACAGAATGAGAGAGCGAGCAGTTGGGACGGTGCAGGATGAGGAGAGAAGATAAAGAAGGAAAGAGAAAATTATAGCTGCAGTTGCATGAATGTGTCCTGCTGCTCTGTGGGATTCATTTTAAAGCTGAAAGATGATGATGAATATAAATAATGAAATATCACAATTGTTACCACTGCGACTAAAGAATAAATAAATGTATGCCTGTCCCTGAGCTGTGTCTCATGGGTTTTACTAGGTTATTATAAGGCCTTCACTTAAAGGACAAACAGGTGGGAGCAGAAAGGTCACCTCTGTGCTCGGTCTCCCGTGCACGACATTCGTCGCATCATAGGGAAGGTTATAATTGCCACATTATTCTCTATTTTCACCACAATGCACTAGTTTGTTCCCACTCTTGACAACAGGACCACGGAAGATGTACAGTTTTATGCAGATAGGTAAATGACAGATTTATAGTAGTAAAAAAAAAAGAAAGAAATACAGCCTATACAATACAAAACAGTACAATACAACCAAAAGCCTTTCTTCAAATGTTTAAAGGAGGGTTGGTAAATTGTTTCTGAAACCCTTTGTGTCTCGGGGAAATCCTCTTCACGTCCTGACAGCCATCAATAAATAATGTAGTCTGAAAAAAGAGAGAAAGCCGGTGTCTGTGGACCTCACAGGGCTAAAATAATCACGACTAATACATACGTAATTTCATTGTAACCGAATGAAATGATTGGCTGGTGTACCTCTCTGTCACTATCCGACCTGCCCGTGCTCTCACTGCATTTGGAGTCTTCAGCCAGAGAGATATCTTAGAAGAGAGGGCTGATGGGAGGCTGCTGGATGTATTGGTTGCTGCTCTTGTTAGATTTTTCAGGATTGCCAACCCTAGCTTTAAAGGTACAGTGTGTAGAATTTAGTGACATCTAGGAGTGAAGTTGCATGTTGCAGCTGAATACCCCTCACCTCCCCCTCCTCTTCCAAACATGAAAGAGAACCTGGGGTATCTTTCAGTTGTCATAAAAAATCAAGTTTAGTTTATCCAGTCTGGACTAATGTAAAAAACATGGCGGCCTCTGTAGAGAGGACCCGCTCCTGATGTAAATATGAAGTATTTAAATATAAAGGGGTCATTCTGGAGTAAAGAAAACAATTTGCACAATTTGGATGAAACACACCAGTGAAAACATCATAAGGATTATTTTATATTCAATGTCTGCCAATAGATCCCTTTCACCTAAATCTTACACACTGAACTTTGACACACTCACTTTTTATGTCATGTTCTTCAAATGATGAAAAACAAAATCAAACAGTAAGCATGACATGTGGAACAGTCTGGGGACAAAGTCAGTACTCATTTCCAGCCCAGCGCTTTACAGCTGATGATGTGTTATTTTCATCAAATGCTGCGCCCACATTTTTTTTCTTGTTTGTACATTTCGGGATTGTGGCCATGGAGCTTAACTTAAACTGAGCAGCCTCAGGAATTCCAACAGGTCCGTTCGTGCCCATAGAAACATCAGAGCTGTAGATTCTGAAGCCCCTTTTCCACTGGACAAAAACATCTGGCTTTTTTCTGCAATACAAATAGGTACAATTGGCTGTTTCCAGATTCACATGACTCTGAAGTTGACACAGGTTTTTATCATCTCTGGCTCTGATCGGCAGTGATGGAAACATCCGTGTGAACTCGCTAATTTGGCAAAACACTGAGGTTTCAGTGCATTCGTGACGTTAAACATAAACAGAAAGGCAAAGTCCTCTACTGTCAATGGTAACAGAGTCAATCCCCTTTAAGAAAAACCTGCTTATACCTTCTAATTTTGGTGTAAAACAGGTATAATTACAGTTGCATTGCTAATGTTTCCTCTCGTGCCCCTCCCTCACTTTCTTCACCACAGGAAGTGCCCACGGACCAACAGGATCAACCGGCAGAAGCAGAACAATGTCCACTTCAGCTCAGAGAACACCATGCGCGCCTCCACTCGACTTATCTGAGCCCAGGCAACAGCGGACAGTGTCCCCCTCCGCAGCACGGAGAGCTATGGCGTTTGATGTTACTCCCCCTGTAGGCCAACCCCTGATAAATTAGGATCTGCTTCCCCTCACTCCTCGCTCTCTCTCCCAGTATGAACTGAAAGAATGCTCACGGAGGACGGGGACACGGCAGAGAAAGAGCCGCAACAACAGTCAGTGGCGACACCCAGCCGCTGGGGGTGATGCTCTCCTCAGTCGCAGGTTACCCAATCGTGTGTCCTCGCACCTTGTCACTTCCACCCGCTTCCAGGGTTTTTCCTGAAAAACTGAACCGTGAGGTGTTTGGGGACCGTTGAGGATACTGAATGTGAGTGTGTGGTTGAGTATGTGTGTGTGGGAATGTGTATTAGATATGTGAGCTTTGGTAGAGGCGGGCTAGCCAGTGTCTGTTGTTTGTAGATGAGGGGGGTTAAAGCAAATCAGGGTAGTGCTAAGCAGGGTAAGGGGCTTCTAAGTGAGGTACGTGTTGTCCGGACTGGGAGGGGGATGGGGTGGGATGGGGTGGTGTGTGTGTGTGTGTGTATGGGGGKGGGGGGGGGTGTTTCGGGTCTACACGTGATGCCTTGCACCTTGTGTTATAGGAGACCTTTGACAGAGGGCACAATGTTATTATAGAGCTCTCTGTTCGGTTATGACGACTTCGTCAGCTACTGTATCTTGGGTTCTATTTCCAATAGTTATTACTACGTTGTCTTGATGGGGTCATTTTTCTGTAAATGTAAATAAATAATTTATATCACGAAATGTAACACACCATGTCTGCCTCTGTTCATTGTTATCAGATTCCTGTTTGTTCTCTCAAGATACTTTGAATTGAATTGAAAGAAAATAGCATGGAGCCTCACTGAACTCTGGACAATCTCCTGAAATCATCTTTAGCTGTATGTGAGAACACAAATGTCCAAGTGAGAGCCTCCAGACTTTCTCCTGCCAGTCCCCTGGTAAAAACTCACAGAATGCCTCAAGGAGCTGATACGAGAGAACAGCAGGAGATCCTCTGCGAGAAAGTGAGGGGTTGATGAAGTTTCTACCACACGGCAAGGAAACAAACATTTGAGGATGAAAAAGTGATGCCATACACCTACAGTGTAGAAGACACCGATGAAGATGTCAAGAGAGTTTGTGGTGATAAAAGCCTGCAGCCATATTCATTCATTACATCCCTGCCTCTGCCTGCTGTCATAACATACACAGTAGTCAGCACTGATTACACAGATACATAATGTTCATTTGATTGATTATAGTCTATTTTTCAGCCACATTTTCAGTGCAAGAATTAACTCTAAATAGTTTACTTCCATGTGGTTTGACTATAGTAATCTGAACACATCCTCTACCACAGTGCCACTGTAATTATTTAAAAATGTCAAAGTTTCCCAATCCACACACAGCGAAGACCTGTTTTATATGCTCTATTTGTTCTGGGCCATACACAGACATGAAAGATGTATCAAGAATGAAGGAAGCAGAAAAACTGCTAAATAAAATAGGTCTGAAGTTACTGAGAAGAACCTGGAGGTAGTTTCTTTCCAGAGACTTTAAAAGTACAGTAAAGACCTTTTATAGATTAATGGATGGATGGACGTACTGTATTGATCCCAAACTGGGAAATTCCTGTTACAACAACAAGGTATTGAGCAAATTAACCACCACATTAGTAACACACTAAGCATAAAAACTATACAACTACACACAATGTAAATAATAAAAATGTAAAAGATTATACATAGTATATAAATATATATTTTATACAGTCTGTGGTAATGACTCTTGTTGAAGTGAGCAGATGCTAACAATGGTGTTTATCGCCACAAGGTGGAGCTGTGGTGAAGAGTATTGACTACAGCCTGGCCGGAAACACAACAGACCAGGGGTGCGAGAAGTCCCGCCCCTACGCTGTCTGCTGCCTCTGATTGGCTCATTGACAACACTGACCTTAAATAATCATCACTGTTCCTCTCTACACGTAACCAATCAGAGGGAATGCAGGGGCGGGTCCTCTCCCCACTCGTCCATCACATACCCGACCCTGTGGGGACATTTGGGAAGAAGGTAGTGTGTGTCCACGACATCGTAACGAGTGGGAACGCCGTAAATAACTCGGGGCCACGAGTTAGATAGACCTGGAAACTGAACTGAAGAAGCATCTTGGTTGAGAGATGATACATGTTATTGAATCACATGATGTCGCCTCTAAATTGGGCTTTAGTCTGACACACTCTGTCTGACCTGTCTCTGAGGTCCATCACAAGGAAACGTTTGCAATCATGAGTATATAAAAGCACGTGGACCTATCCTCGTGCTTCTGTTTCTGAGGATAAACGTGTGAAACTATGTCTTATTGTCTCGCCACACACACATCCAGGAGGGTACATGTCAATCTCTCCCTGTTTCCAGATGTGCAGTCAGGCTCCCTGCATACTGGACATTTAACTGTGCCTTGCACGGTGTGTCATGGCGCACGAGGATCGGTCCATATTTTTTTTATTCGTAATTGCAAACGTCAACACATTTGAAGCAGAAAAGTAGAACTCCAGTTCTATTTACTTAATATTTCCTTTAAAACTTAATTCTCATAATATGTCTTTTTTTCTCATTAAATTATGACTCAATTCTTTTGGTTATTGTTCACTTACAACTGTATTCTCTAATTATTACTTTTTTTCCCTGTTTGAATTATAACTGTATTCTTGCAATATTACAACTTTCTTCCCAATTATGACGTTATTTAATTCTGCCCTGACCCTGAAGAGTGCAGGACTATTATGGTTCTTTTTTATGGACTCTTCTTTATTGACTTTCCCTTGGTTATTATGTTTAGATGTGTGGTCATTCTGTTTTCCTCGTGTGTTTCTGGTTTCTTTACTTCCTCCCTTTGTGTGTTTTCCCTCCAGTTTTGACTGTTGCCATGGTTTGCGTCACCTGTTTGTCCTGTGCCACCTGTCTCTAGGTTGTCATCAGTTCAGTTTATATTTATAAGTCAAGTCTTCACTTCTGTTTAGTCCCTGTCAGCTTCAAGTTCCTTATCCTGCCTTGTTTTTCCTAAATAGTTTGAGTTTGTCTTTTTGTTTCCTGCCCCATATTTTATGTTTTTTATTAAATTCAGTTTTTTGTGGATTGGACCTACCTCCTGCATCGCTCCTGCATTTGGGTCCACCTGTTCTCCACAACTCATCGGAACATTATTCTCATAATTTTAAGGCATTTTTCTCAAATTCTCTGTCGTAAGAATCCCTCCAGTTCAATATAAAAACTGACAATAAACATTGATTTATAATTATTGCATTATACTTTCCTTGATTTGACAGCCAATTGCTGATTATACACAGGACGTTAACACGGTATCTGGCCCTTTCTGAATTTGAATGGACTACAGCAATTAAACATTTCTTTCTCAACAAAATTATCTTTTCCACAGAAATATCAAACCGACAGGTGAACCTCTGAGAACCTTTTTATTTTCCCTGCAGGAACAATCCAACTTTACGTTCAAGCTTGTGTTTTTTCTGAACGATGGTGAAATGATTTTCAGAGCTGACAGGAAGTTGAAATTGTTTTTTTAAACAACAAACTGACACCAACAAACATTTTTGCCTGAACACTTTTTATACAAACATGATTACTGATATGACAACAACTAAAACTGTACACTTCCACAACAACTCTTAGTGCTTCTCAAGAGATTCTTTCCATTCTGTGATGGTCTGTCCAGAAGCTGGTCAGTACCACCTTCCTCTGATAACAGTATAGTCCTCTTCTCCAGGCGCTTCAAGTGGACTGACTGATGTGATGACGATGTCGCCGATGGTGTTGCCAGTTAGACTGTTGTTATCTTGAGGTTAAACCTTTCAGATATTTATGCTTTAAAAGATTTGACTCCTTCTGTCTGCTTCTCTGAATCTGTTAGTCAATGAGGACAAACAGATCAACATGATTTGCGTGATTTTGCTGAACTATGTAATTAATTCTAGTAATTGGATGTGTAAATGACTTGATGTGTCCAACCCATAGATTGTATATACAGTATATTTGGAGGGAGACTTTGCATGTAGACTGCAATACAGCCACATTTTTTGAGAGCTCAGATATCTGAGTGTTTAGCTCAGATATTTGTAGCAACACTGACAGTACATGCAGTGACGGAATGTTTCCCCCCAGTCATTGTGTCCTCTTCATTATGACTCCTCACAATCTGAAGAAGAAATGGGTGAAAGAAAAAGACACAGAATAGGACTCAAGGTTTAGCAATTACATGTGATTTACATACCTGAGGGACAGTAACAGGAGCGAGTTCTGCATCATAATCAACAAGGATCCACTTTCCCTCGTCTAAAACAAGTTTCAGAACATGTTTTCACACCTTCTCTGACTCAGCGGGACACTGCCGGGGTCTGGATAACCAAAAGTATTTTGGGGGTGAAATTCAACTCAGACATTGAACTCAGTCACACATCATCAATAACTTGACCTCATGAAGCGTCTTCATTGTAAATGGTATTTCTTTTATTTCTCTAGTGTCTTGTTTGTTACAGTACCTGAGCAACACTGGCTTTAAGACAATAAATAATATATTGTATCTATCAGATATCAGGGTAACTGTCCCTCAAAACACAGACAATATGAGTTTTGTGTGTGTATATATATATATGGAGACTGGGACAACTACAGTTTTACTGCATGTTAGCATTAAGCTACATGACTGGAATCAGGGCCTACTACAGTTTTACTTTATGTTAGCTAACATTAGCTACATGACTGGAGACTGGGACAAGTTACTACAGTTTTACTTCATGTTAGCATTAAGCTACATGAATGGAGACTGGGACAAGTTACTACAGTTTTACTTCATGTCAGCTAACATTAGCTACATGACTGGAGTCTGGGACAACTTCAACACCTGGGACACACAGCTCCTCAACATCAGCCTTTATTTACAACATAAGACTTTATGAGAGCATGTATAAATGTCATCATTTGCTTCTACATACTTGTGTGGTTGTTACGTCCATAAACAATGAGCCGCCATCTTTGCTGAGATGGACTTCTCACGCAACCTGTGCGTTTTAGGATTTGGTGGACTATCGTAAATGTCTTGTGGGTCAAAGTATGAACAGTAGTATCAGAAATATAGACTCGATTTACACAGATATGTGCTACCAAGTTGTCGTGGCCGAGTGGTTAAGGCGATGGACTAGAAATCCATTGGGGTCTCCCCGCGCAGGTTCGAATCCTGCCGACAACGAATTTACCTTTTTTCGTCTTGTCAGAAATTGAACGTTTTTCATGCGATTACTCACATTAGAAGAACAAATACATCAGAGGAACATCTGAGCTGTTAACAGTCAGAACCTCACATGTGATCCCACACTGGCAAGACAAAGAGCCACTGGCGTCATGGATGACCATGAACCAGGAGGATCAGAGGACTTGCAGCTCTTCTCCCTCCTCTTCCTCTTGTTTTCTCTCCCTCTTTGTGTGAGTGCTGATACGGG